CTCTGGATGGTAGGCAATGGCAGATACCGAGAAATTTTGTTTGGTTAACCGAGGATGATGACCAAATAAAATTCGATTAGTCGAGACCTAACTTTTTAGACTCAATCTTTCCGAGGATGAAGGATGATGACCAAATAAAATTTGATTAGTCGGGACCTATTTTTTTAGACTTAAATCTTTTCGGTTCGTTCTTTTGGTTTCGATCAATTTTGCCCCACCCCGTATCACCGGTGGAAGTTGAGTGGCTGTGCGCAAAAGAGAACTACTACACCTTTATCTCTCTCGGGTTATGTATGTATGTCATGCATGTACAGAGCATCTGGCATGGCCGCATGAGATTTTTTTTCCTCCTGCTAGTCTCCACCATATGAAGTGACGGATCCAGAAATAAATAGCAGTGGAGTCTGAACAAACTAGATAAAATTACAGTCCCTCCTTTTATCTACATATGGTAAAAAATTTTAGTGGGGTCTTCGTGGGGTCTCTCGTAGTCTTCACGCCAGTAGTGGGGGCTCGAGACCCCGTCGCCCCCATGCTGGATCCGCCACTTCCATATCGTCTTCGTTGATCATTATTAGACGTTGTTGACGAAGAACAAAGGGACAGAGACTCGGTTATAATTTGATTTAACATATATAATACCATTATTTAGCATGCGACGAAGAACAACCACTACTACAGATAAGATTTTTTCATACGAGCATTTTGATTTTTTTCGTGCGGTTGTCCGGCCCGCTGCAGCCGGCTGTCTACGAAAATCAGTATTTTCGCGCGCGGGTGGACCGACCGCACGGGATAATCGATTATCCCGTGCGGTTGTGTTATACCGCCTGCACGGAACCAAAAAAAAAAGGAAAAATCGCCTGGGCACCAGCGCCTCGCTGCTCCCCGCCGCGCCCGGCCGCTGCAGCGTCGCCGGCCAAGTCGCCGTCGTCCTCCTCCGCTTCGCCTTCCTCCTCGACCACCGTGACCAGCTTGGCACCGAGCGTGGCCATGCCGGACAGGAAAGACGCCACCGAGTCGGTGGAACGTCTGGTGGTGGTGGTGGCCGCAGGTTGGTGGAGAACGTAGTTAGCGACGAGCGGGGTGGGAGCGTCAAGGAGCCCCAGGCCGCCGCTGTGCCCGGCCGCCGCCTCGCCCAGCCGCCACCTCGGCTTGGCCGCCTCGCCCAGGCCGCCGCCGCGCCCGGCCACCGCCTCGCCTAGCTGCCGCCTCTCCCAGGGGAGGGGGAGGAGGAGGGGAAGCCGGCCGGTTGAGGGGTTGAGAAGAGGTTGAGAAGAGATAAGGTAGAGAGAGAGAGGTGGGAGCCGATTGAGAAGAGATAAGGTACGGAGCTGGTTAGGTGAGAGTGGTTGAGAGAGAATAAAAGGGAAAAAGGAGGAGATATGAAAAATTTGAAGTGGATGGGAGGGAAAGGAGGGAGGAATATCCCGTGCGGTTGGGATAGGACGCCTGCACGGGAAAATCAATTTTCCCATGCGGCCGATACCCCAGCGCCGGTTCCCTATTTTTCCATGCGGTTCCACTTACGGACCGCATGGAAACAAAAAGAGTGGGCGTCCAGGAAAATCAATCGTGTAATAGTGAACGGCTACCTCCTAATAGTTGAGAAATCTGTCAACTACCTCTTGTTATTTGTGAGGGTTGTTTCTTCCATTTAGATTCGACGTACTACGGAAACGGTTTACTGGACGAGACCCCTTTAGATGGCATGTAGATTATAATTAGTCACGTATATAAAGATCGACATCTATTATCGCATATGGCTTTTTAAGAGACCCGTATGTAAAAATCGATTTTTTAGACGAACCTCTCAGCGTACCCGTATAGAAAATGAGTCTATTTTCGCAGACGAATCTCTTAAGGACCCACCCAGAAGTCGAACTTACCTCCTTATTCCATTTCAATGTTTAAAAAATTTTCAAGTATCATCCTTATCTTCTTTCTATCTCTCTCTCACCTCCAGTCCTCTCCTCTCTCTCACTGGCCAACGGTGGCAGGCTTGGCTACCTCGAGCGCTCAGCGGCGGGCTCATAAACTGGCTTGTTAGTCTAAACAAAGAGAGTGTTATAGCCTGTTAATGATAGATTGTACCTTTGTTAAAAAAAAGGTTAGATTTGTTATACCTAGTTATGATGGGATAAACTTGTTTTCTTTTCTGACATGACGCAACTGATGAAACGGTGACTTGTTTGCACAACTGCGATGCATCTGATAGCAAAAACCAGTGCCGCTTTCGCAGGGAGAACCACTAGCTGCGTCTTGCTCGGTTTGCTGCCGTGCATGTCGGGTTGGTTCATAGAACTGCTTGCTAGCCTGCTCTACCCATGGCCACATGTGTATCATGTATGTATCTTAGCCGTGTTGGTTGCTGCGTTTCTACGGCCTACATTTCTTACTTCTACAGCCTTGGATTGGATGTGATTGTGGATTTGTTGTTTACAGTCGATCACGCGATAGACTTGGAAAAGGACCGATCGAGTAAATTCTTCTCTCTTTTTTTGTTACCACAAAGTAAATTAATCGCGTTTTGGGGTAATAATACCGACTGCACTTTCTGCTATAAACAGAAGCACTTTCATTTGTTATAGTTTACCATCTCCAACGCCTTCCGCCTCACCGGCACTACTAGAAAAAACATTTTCCCTAACGTTGGGGGTCTTATTTTCGCAGTCGGATCTGATTTTTGAAGACAAATGACCGCCTACAAAAATATAAATTGGGGTGATGTTCGCTGTCCGCCTACGAAAATCTATTTTCGCACGCGGACCACTTAAGCGGCGCCTACGAAAATGATTTTCGCAGGCGCACCTTATATGGTCCGCCTGTGAAAATGAGGAGCAATATTAATAGACTAGGCTGGAGTAGTTTTTTTCTAAGTCTCATTCTCTCCCTCACTTATCCTCTCCCTCACCTCTCTCCCTCAGATCCCTCTCCCTCACTCTCCTCTCCTCTCCTCTCTAGCGGTGCGGAGGGAACGGTGGCGCAGCGGGGACGGCGACTGCATGCGGCGGCGCGGCGGGGACGGCAAGGCGCGGCCGGCGGCGGCGGCTCCCCTCGCCCCCTCCCTCCCAGATATGGCCGGAGAAGGGAGGGGGGAGGCCGGCGGGGGTGACGGCGGCGACGACGGCGTGGGGCGGTGGTGGCGGCGGTGACGACGCGCGCGGGGCGGCCGGCGGCGGCGGCTCCCCTGGCCCCCTCCCTCCCAGATCTGGCCGGAGGAGGGAGGGGGGAGGCCGGTGGCGGGGACGACGGCGTGGAGCGGCGGCGGCGACGACAACGGCTCCCCTCCCCTCCCCTCTCAGATCCGGCCGGGGAGGAGGGCGAGGCGTGGCGGCGGCGGCGAGCCGCGTGCGGCGATTTTTTTTGTTCGTTTTTTTGCATTTTCGCAGGCGGACCGTTGCCCCGACTGCGAAAATCGACGTTGTGTTGCAGGCGGACCTTCCTTCTGCCTGCGAAAATTAGTTTTGGCCGCTTGGGAAAATTAGTTTTCTGGTAGTGCGGCCGCCGTTTAAACCAGTTGTCGTGCGTCCGTACAACGGTAAGAACAATGTTGGCTAGGCTTCTTGGTGGATGTCTCAGTGGAGCCTGAGGTGGTGGTTGTCGAATTTTGGGTCTTCGTGCCTAGATCTAGTCGCATGGCGGCGCAAGTGGTTGCGTTGGTAGGCTTCTCGGCACTGAGGAGTGGACAGAGCAGTGCCCAGATTAGGTTGCAAGGGTACATGGACGATAACAAGGTTGTCTCGACATAGCAACATGCTCATCAGTGTTGGCCCTAGGGTTCCCTTACCGTTTTTGGCGTGGTTATTGGACCCCCACGGCAAGGTGGTTATCGCGAAACCGCGCGGTAACCCCGAGAGATACCGTGGTTTTAAAAACTGAAAAGGTTACCGTGCATGGTAATCGCGCGGTTTTGTGTGGCTCCCTGATAGTGGTGAGCCTAGGGACAATGACTACCAATGGGGGTTCTACACCTAGATTTGACTGAGTGATGATGGGACAGTATTGTCTTTACGGCGTGTTGGTGTGGACAATGATGGTGGTGGTACAGGTGATGGCCCTAGGAGCAGTGGCTACTAGTGGAAACTTTTCATCCATATCTGACTGTGTGACGGTGAGGGTGATGACTATTGTGGCGGTGCTTTTCGGCATGGTAGTGGCAATGACCCTAGGGGCAGTGGCTGCTAAATCGTCGGTTTATAGGCCTAAATCGAACCATGTGGATTGGGAGGTGGCTCTAGCTAGTACGACAATGACAAGCTTGGTGGCTGTGCTAGTGGCAACTGGAGAGGAAGGATCCAACCTAAAGTCAGACCCGACGCTCTTTTAATGAGCAAGACGAGGAGCGGACATAGGGCTTGTTGGAGGTGCTGGCAACGGTTAGGAAGCGATGCTGAATTTGAGACCTAAACAGGGTTTACAAAACCGCGCAGTTATCGCGGTTACCATGCACGGTAATCTTTTCAATTTTTAAAACCACGGTTTATCTCGTGGTTACCACGCCAAAAATGGTAAGAGGAACCTAGCATCCATTTCCACGCCATTCACATCCATGCCAGATTTGGAACGATGGTCTACACATGAATTCTACCTGGACTGCACTGTTTCATATAAAAATCCACTTATCCATAATATACTATTTTGCATACATACCATAGTCAAGAGATTGAATCTGCTGGTATTGTGAAACCAGGGTCGCAACTTTCTTTTCTGCAAGTAACCGGATTGGATGTTAATCCATCCATTTACACAGTATTTTAAAGTACGGAATCTAGCTGACGCAACCGTCCAGTGCACAAAGCAAACCATGCAATTCGTCTTCTTTTTTCAAATAGAAAAGCAAAATGTCAACACAACGCCGCTGACCACGAGCGGCAGCGTTCACTCTGGGCCCGAGTCTGCAGGCTTGCAGCGGAAGGCCTCGTTACAGCGTCGAAATGGGCCAGGCCAGGCCGGGCCGGAACACGTGGGCCTAGCCCACTCAAACAGCCCTTGACGCGCACCACCAACCACTATATAAGCTTCCGAGAGCTCTTCCCCCAAACCCTAACCGCCGCCGCCGCCGTCTCCTCCTCCTCATCCAAGCAGCTCGCGCCTCCGACCCCTCGCCTCGAGCTCCAGCTCTCCCCAACCCCTTCAACAATGGTGAGTCGCCGCCTCTCCCGCAACCCTAGCCGCGTGTCGGCGCGTTCGCTCGTGATGCCTGACGCCGCGCGTGGTGGTGTTTTTTTTTTTTTTGGGTGGTGGTGGTAGGCGGATGTCGAGGTCGAGGCGGAGGTGGCCGCGGCCGGAGCGCCGAAGAAGAGGACGTTCCGCAAGTACAGCTACCGCGGCGTGGACCTCGACGCGCTCCTCGACATGTCCACCGACGACCTCGTCCAGCTCTTCCCCGCGCGCGCCCGCAGAAGGTTGAATCGTCGCTGGAATGCTTGCAATTGTTTGTGGTTGGGTGGCTTTGATCTGATGTGTTGTGTGCCTTTTGGTTTCGATAGGTTCCAGAGGGGCCTGAAGAGGAAGCCCATGGCGCTCATCAAGAAGCTCCGCAAGGCGGTGAGTGTTGATATACTCATCAGTCATTTGTTCTGAGTTGATGGAAAGTTTGTTAAAATGTGGAATCGATACAGATCTTATGTGTTAAGTATTTATCTTGCTATTTTTATATTTTGGGGATCTGTAACTTGATTGTGCGTCTCTTTAGATTTCGTACCGTAGTGCTACTAACTGCCTGTTTTAATACTGCACTCGCTCAAAAGAATGCTGTGGTGGGTCGGCATTTAGGTTTTACAATTCAATGCAAATTTGCCTTTGGAAATGTAAGGCTGATTTGATGCAGTCTTTAGAGGTTGGAATTGTTATTTACCATAATGTATGCCTCTGGACTTGCTTTTAGCATTTAGCAATGAATAACTGATGCAGAACAACACTTTTTTTGGTTACATGTTTGATATATGATTTGTATATATTTATTATTCACTTTCTGTTAATGCGCTGACATTAATTTGTTTTGTGTATTTGCACTGGAAATGTTGAAACCTATAACATGGTTCATTCCAGTGCTTTAAATCTACCCAGAGCTTGTTTGTGGCAACTTAACATGTTGGCAGTAGTTTTGCCACAATTTTTAGTGTCTCAGTTTTATTATAGGTTATGCTGTGGGTATTTTTTTTGTTTTTAGTTTGTCAGTTGGAGGAACGCAGTATTTTTGTGTTACGTATTGTTTTCACATTAATTGTTCTGGCTTGTCTGCTTTATTTTTTTCCTGCACTCCACAAAGTCTGGTTTCTGATATTTTCTTAGTGAATTATTAATACCACCAAATCATGGGGTTTTAGGTTATTTGTCGCGGTGTACTCCCTTTGTTCTATATATTACAGGATGTGTTGGGTTTGTAGAAAAAATTAGCAATATTCCCAAAACAAAGCAAATATACTATAGACATGTTTTGGGAAATGGTGGACTTGATGAAACTAGTTTGGTGTTGTGGAAAACATGTTTCTATAAACTGTCAAATTTCAATCCAAAAAGTAATATGGAACGGAGGGAGTATTTATTACTGTTTCCTTGCTATTTGGGTCTCACATTTCCATGCTTGCTAGCTTAGTTAGTCTTTTTACCCTTTTGGTTCTGAAAAATGTTAGTTGGCGTGTCGTTATTCTATCAGGGCAGTAATTTTGAAGGTACTGTCTTCAGACTAGGTTTCTATGAAGCTGGAAGTTACTTTGTAGTGAGTTATGTAGGTGTGATGTATAAAGTCTATATAAGAACTGTTGCTTTTGTGGATATTTTTGCTAGAATGTGGTTCTTGCTGGTAGATTAAAAAATTTAGCTAACTCTGGTCTTTTTACTCTCTGGCTGGTTCAGCAAAGTATCTGGGTGAAGCTTGTATGAGTGTGGGGTATATTGAGTTCTATTAGTGCATTCTTTTTTTTTTGTTTCCTCCAATCCTCTCTGCCTTTACTGGTTCTTTTATGCCATTTTTCAGACAATCATCTTGTCTTTATGTTCGCTTTGCACGCAAACTTAACTAGTAGGTTGCTAATCTTCTGTTCTCTTGTAAAATTCTTGCAAACAGAAAAAGGATGCACCTGCTGGTGAGAAGCCAGAGCCTGTGAGGACCCACCTCAGGAACATGATCATTGTGCCTGAGATGATCGGAAGCATCGTCGGTGTCTACAACGGCAAGACCTTCAACCAGGTTGAGATCAAGCCTGAGATGATTGGCCACTACCTCGCAGAGTTCTCCATCTCGTACAAGCCAGTCAAGCACGGTAGGCCTGGTATTGGTGCTACCCACTCCTCACGGTTTATCCCTCTCAAGTGAGAGATCATCTGCAGCTGTTTGCGCTTCCAGTATGTAGCTTGAGCTGTCGAACAAGGAACTCCAAAGTACTTTATTAATAGCGTGTCCACCGAGCAGCCACTTTTTGAACCTTGGTTAATCTGATGTTATTTCCCCAGATATTTTGAAGTTATATCCAAACATGTTATTTCTATTGCAATTATCATCCGTTGAACTGAACCAGTGTTCTGTCATCCCTGATGATGAGGTGTTAACCTACCTATGGCATGAACCAATGATTCTGGTGGATAGAATTTACTTGAGGGCTTGGTTGGTAGGATTTCAACTCTTAAGTTTAATCTTGAAGTTGTGTTTGGAGTGCAGTTGTGGAGCTCTCTGAATCTAGAGCACCCCAGTCTACTTAACCCTTTTTTTTTGGTGGAGCTGAAACCGTTTCTTTTGGTTGGGTTCCAGCTTCAGGACAGGTGAGGCTGGAGCTAGAGCTATGCCAATTCATTTTCTGAGAGCACTTCCTTTACTCCTTTTCTGTGAAACTGTGCCAACCATGCCCTTAGTAGCTTGTCCTGAAGATTGTTCTTGAGCTGTGAAAAACATGCCCTTATTAGCTTGTCCTGAAGATCGTGCTTGTTCGCTCTCGGATCTGCAACTGCAACGTACTGTAGGCCTAAGGGTTGCAAAAATTTATCAAGAACACTCAATTCTTGCACTGATACACTGGAAAACATGCTGAAACTTGGGTGTAAGCATAATATGAAGGCCCATTTCAAATTGTCCAAAGGCCATGATTGTTGCTATACCGTATATAGGCACAGTTTATATCCTGAGCAAGTTCATATCTGAGCAGTTCTCATCAAGGTAATCAAGGCATAAAATGTTGAGGGTAAAGCAACTAAGCTAAATAAAGAACATTAAGCACAGAACACATCAACTAATCATATTTCGAAGCCCATATGCTTCTCATCAAGGTAATCAAGGCATAAAAAGTCGAGGGTAAAGCAACTGAGCTAAATAAAGAACATTAAGGAACACATCAACTAATCATATTTCGAAGCCCATATGGACGTCGCATTAGCTCTGAACTTGTCTGATATATAAGTACTCCTATTTAACAAGGCTAGATTTAGATTTGTTCACCCTGGAAGAGATTTGAGCTCGCAGAAAATCAATCACATGAGCACGCACGAGTTCCAGTTAAACAAACAACTAAAATATAATTAAGCTTAATCCTAGCCGAAATAATTGTTTGGCCAGCTCGATCAGTCCTGCCAATTGATAAGCTAAGTTGCACGGGTGCACATGCTTAGCACCACTAATTATCGGCGCTCTTTGTGGGAGGTGCATTTAATGCCTTAATGACTTTGTTGATTTGATTTCCCTTCATGTGGTTTTGTCAGAGACTGATCGAGACAGATTAGCATCTCTGTCATCTGCTTTTTGTTTAACTGAATATATATGTTTCATCTGTGAAAACACCATGCCTGGATGGAATTAAATTGGATTTTGTCAATGTTTCCAGCTAGTTTCTCTTGTGGGTGTCATAAGCAGCTCCAGGTAGATCACCTCACATGATGAACCTAGTTGATCTAGGGTTGGAATTTAGCATGAGCAAGTGTTTAGTATCTTGATTTGGATATTAATCTAGCTATTTAGGGCCGGTTTGCGGCTGCAATGTGATTCACTTGTGTTTTTTTTTATAATCTATATGCTGTATAACCTGTATTGAAAAAAATATAGAAGTCTATTGGGCAAATTAGATTAAGGCTATCCAATGCTTGCCATGCAACCACCCAGCACCGTTGTATTATTCAGAATGCGATAGTATCCAGCTATCTACATTTATAATTCGGTTAAGGGTTAAGTTTCAAATAAAATTTGCAAGAATTTGACGAGAAACGGTTCGTTTTCTCTAGGAATCGGCAGAAAAACACATTTCTCAAAACACCGAAGTGTCAGTGTTATCGTGACTCATCAGTAACAAACAGATCACATGAATCGGTTGGTGGCAGAGTACAATAAGGGCCCAAGAAACGCGCTTAACCGCACGTTGATCTCTCAGAAACGAAATGCAATTAGCCACACTAATCATTGATGTTTGCATCTAGAATTTGCAATGATTCAGCAGTTTAGATCTGTTCATTCCCCTCGAACCACACTCATGCTTGACATCTACACATCAGACGGAAAGAGACACACTAGGAATTGACGAATTGTGCGTTGCAACTTCCAGAAAGAGAAATCAGTGAGTGCGAACTGAGCGTAACTCAGCTGGTTTTGATGTGGTAGAAACTGTTAAGACTTAAACATGATAGACGTATTTGGTGGCTTCGTTAATCTGTATATATGTATGTGTGTTCATAATTGTGAGTGTGCACTTTTATATGAGCGTCCGCATTTATACGTTTTTAGAGCTACTACTCGTACATGATCAAACATAACAAGCTAGTCACAAATTTGATATTACCAAGTAGCTGTTCATGGACAAGTTCAGATTTCCAGAATCCTATATTTGCATTTGCATTTGCATTTGCAGTGATGCTGATAGATACACGGATGGTGATTAAGCTAAGGATCATCAGGTCTGGGGATTAGCGGTGGCTTGCTGCACTACGGAGAGATCGAGCGGCTGCGCGTGGTTGTGTTCGTTCTCGTAGGTGACGAGCAGCATCGCCGGGTCGCTGCGACACCTCTCGACGTGCTTCCTCGCCGGGCAATCCTTCTTGCTGCTGCACCTGTAGTATCCCCTGCATCAAACCCAAACACAATCAATCTCATCAAATTTGTCTAATTTTTTTCATCTGAACATTTGATCATGATTAAGCAGAGTACAGGGTACAGATTGCAGATCAGTTGGAAGTGGCCGTATTAATAGGCATGACAGATAAGTTGATCATTAGCTATTGTCTTTTAAAGATGATAATGAGATGGTTATTCTTGTCTTAAGTTGAAACTGATCATAGTAATTGGAATTGCAAAGAAGTTGATCAGTAGCAGTAACTGAGATGAACGAGTATTATGAAGCTATGACTGAATTTTGAGATGATTAATTGTTCTTAGTAGTGAGATTTACTACCTTGGATGAGGAGAGCCTTTGATTGGTTTCTGACCATATTTTCTCCAAGAATAATTGTCCGAAGGTATATCGGCGACCTTGTCGCTGATCGCCGGCACGGTGACCACCTTCTTCTCCCTGGGTTTCCTGCGAAGAAATCGGAAGCAAGAACACGGTCAAGATCATGGCAGAAATGGCCGAGAAACGGTGGCGAGATTGACACGGACTTCTTCTTTGGGCAATGGCATTTGCCGCCGGCGTCGTCGTCGGCGGTGGCCTTCCTGGCGCACGACGACGGCTTCTTGGTCGTCGGCGCCGCCGCAGCCGCGGCGGAGTTGGTGGCGGCGTCGGACATGCTGATGAGCTGGCTGCTGATGGAGGTGAAGAAGGAGGTCGCCGCCGACGAGGTGCACACCGAGTTGTCGAAGCTGAAGCTGATCACCTCCTTCCCTCCGCCGCCGCCGACGCCTCTCGGCATCTCGATGTGGAACTTGTCGCTGATCGGCGTCTGCTCGAACTGAAAGCTCTTCATCGGCTGCTGGAACTGGATGTGATTTGCGGAGGAGGAGCTGTTCACCATGGGTGCAGGTGCAAGCTTCGAGCTGTTCTTGGCAGCCGCCGCCATGGATGCAGCTGGAGCAGGAGCGCCGCGACTGTTCAAATCCAAGAGCGTCGTCTCAAGAAACAAGCTCCGGTCAACCACCGCCGGCGTGACGTTCGCGGCGGAGGAAGCCGCCGCCGCCGTTGCCGGAGACGGCGACGCAGTAGCAGCACTACTACTGAAATGGAGGCGGCCATTGCTGGGAGCAGGAGAGCTCGCCGCCGCCGCCAACGGGTGGTCCATGAGGCAGCCCGGATCAACCGGCGGCGAGCTCCTCCTCTTGCCAAGCCTCGCCCTCGCATGGCCGACCCTGTTGCTGAGGATGGTGACCACCTTGCCGAACCTTGACACCGCCTCGTCGGTCTCCGCGACGGCCGCCATCAGCCGGAACGGGTCGCCGGACTTGGACAGGATGGCCACGAGCTTCTTCGAGCTCTCCACCGCCGCCATGTTCGCCTCCTCCACCCCATCCATGGCGAAAACCGAGTAAAATTCAAGCACCCTTGGTGTTGCAATGGAACAGTGAGTGTTTTTCAGCTGAGAAATCAATGAATTCTAGCAGAAATGAGCAGATCATAGGTAGTAAATAGTAACTGAATTGATCAAAGATGAAGAACAAATTTGACCAAGAAAATGAAAAAAGAAAAAAAAAAGGAGCTTTGTAAGATTGGATGAAACAGATTTCTCTATGAAAATCTAGGAGGAACAAGAGATGAAAAGCTGCAAGATTGCAAGAAATGGTGGCGTAGGAAAAAGTTTATGAATAAGATCTTGGTGAGATTTTATAGAGGAGGAGGAGAATACTACCATTATATGATGGCAAATGAAATCTCATTGGGTCCTTCACTTGTGCAGGAAGTAATTCGGGGAGTATAGAATTCCATCTGGGAGTGAGAGGAGGAACACCATTGGAATAAAATTTTAGCAAAGTCAACGAGACTGCTCCTGATCAAGTGATCACAGCCGTCGGTAGGATGGACGGTCTGGATGCTATTTGACTTTGCTTTTATATTTTTTTTTGTTAACATTGAAACTGAAGTGTGGACATGGAACTAAACTTTTCTGCAGTTTCAAGTATTTTATGCTCATTATCAAGTACAGGGACTTGAAAGAAGTTGATGAGCTCATAAACATTTTCCTTTAAAAACCATTATAGCTGTTTTATTTATAGGATTATGACTGCAAGTCTTAGACACTAAAATTCAGTAAGGCATTATTTTTGGGAGAAATAAAAACTGAATTGAATAAGTCGCTTTGGCTGTATTTTTTTTGCCAGCTCACTGGCAGATGAATGGATCAACATTTTGGAAGTCAACAGAAATTTCATTTGTTTTTGTTTGGTGGAAATACTATATCATCGGCTTGCTGTTCGATTCCAGCCGTCATCTCCACCAGTGTCAGTCACAAACAATTCCATATGAAATTCTCCATTTTTTTTATCGAAGCCAACCTCCTTTTAACTGATGATATGATTGAATACATGGCATAATTTGAACCCATAAATATACCCCAGGTAGTGGAGGAAAAAAAACATAGAGCACTTACACGTTGTAGGATACAATAACAATCAATCAAAGTGTAGGTCTCCCATTAATTTGTTGAACAATACAGCTTATCTTAGTACGAATAGTTCAATTAAAATAAGGATCTGTTCACTTTGACGTCATTTTCAACCATACCATTTTTTTAGCAAAGTTATCAAAAAAATATCTACGTTTAGTTTGTTGCTAAATTTGCTAAATAAATAAGAAATCATGTCAAAATTTTGATAATATTACCATCTTGCTAGGTTTATTTTGGCTACAATCTGAACGGACCTTAACTTTCAACTTTCTGTTCAATAAACTTCGAGGTCGTTTTGGAAGGCCGAAATTACGGCCCATCTTTTAGAGATTAGGCCGAGATTTGAGCGTTGGCCAGAAAAGGCCTGAGAGGCTTGGAGATGTGCTGTAGAAAATTTGGAGCCCAATAAAACGCAGGCAAGCAAAAAGGCCCAAATTTGGCTTTCATGCAAATAAGTTCACTGAATCCTGATTTGGCTTGCAATGAGGCAATTTCGTCGGCTTTAGACTCTGGATTCCGACGGCGTAAGGTTGTTTCTGATTGTCTTGAAGTGGTTAACAATTTGAAGAAGTCCAGTAGATTAATGTAAGGTCAAATTCTCTAGGGTTTGTTGATTTTTGTCATCAAGTTCAGGATTCGAATAGTATCAAGTTCAGGATTCGAATAGTGAAGCTCATATGTTAACTTGGAATGTGTCTCAATTTGAGAAACACCTAGGGTTTTCGGCTGGCCTACTAGACGACATTTTCTTGTTAGACTACCCTGATTTTAAATATAAGCATTTTGACATTTTAGAGGTTTTAATATTTAACGGCGAATACAAATATTTATAGGTATTACTTCACCTACCACCTACCTTCTATTTTATTTTTTTACTAAATAATCTTACCATCAATCATCGCCCAACTTTCCCAAACCCTATAGTTTTAAAAGAGACATCGTATTTTTTTTCTTTTCATCCTTAATCTCTATGAGTACTTATATGTTCCTACGGAGGGAGTATTAAGTATATCACTATGTATGGCTAGACGTGTGAGCTTGTAATTGAGATTAGAAAATCACGATAAATACCCCAAAATTTGAAGTATCAGCGGCGAACAAGTCGAGGCAGCCTTTTGAACCAAAAAAAATGACAAGCGATCTCGGCACGTTTTGCATGGTTTGTTAATCTCTCTATCCAAAAGTACAATATCTATTTTATTTCTTGGTTTTTTCAAAAGTTTAAGATATATTTGTAATTTTTATGTGCTAAATTAAATTGTTGATTGGAACCCAAGAAGTTATTTTACTACTACTTATTGATTACATACATGATACATGTGTATACAATACTACCGTTCATTGCTTTTGTTACATGGTAGATGGGTTAATTACTCCTTAGTTTTGATGAGAAAAATAAGTACTACCTCGTTCCATGTTAGATGTCGTTCTAAAGTGTTTAGTATGGATTAAGGTTTAAGAAAGAAATTATACCGTCCTTTGTTAAATTATGTGTGGTTGGATGTGAGAGGATGATTGAGGGTAGAAAAGAGAAATTTTTGAATTAAAAGTGATTGAGGGAACAAGTATTACTCTATTGTGATAAATCTTAAAGAGATCATTAATTTAGAACAGATGGAGTATTATATTTTTGGACGAAAGGAGCAGTACTCCCTCCATTTTTTAATAGATGACGCCGTTGACTTTTTTTCACATGTTTGACCATTCATCTTATTCAAAAATTTTATGTAAATGTAAAAGATATAAATCACACTTAAAGTACTATGAGTGATAAAACAACTCATAACAAAATAAATTATAATTACGTAAAATTTTTAAATAAGATAAATGGTCAAACATATGAGAAAAAATCAACAGCGTCATCTATTAAACAAATGGTCAAAGTATTACTATAGCATCGTGGGCTCGGGGCCGTCTTTCTACATCTCTTTGGACGGCGTTTGGGTGACGGGGCCGGCACGCACATGGTGTGTGTGTCATCCTCGCCCATTTCGCGGCGTGATGAGGCTGCGAAAAGCGTGCCTCGATCCCTTCTTCTGTTGCTGCTGTCCAATCTGATCTGCAGAGATCTGGATGGATGGATGTGTGTTGGTACATCGGTTGGGACACGGGAAAGATGAAGATCAGTTCAACGTGCAAGTGTACAAAATCCAAAATGGTAGTGGTGGTGGACGTTTCTCTCTTGTCCGGAATCACCCAACATTAGGGTGCCATGGCCGGACATGATTGGCGCTGTCAAGCAAACAAACTGTGCTGAAAAAAATATAAAATGCCACAACGTGTTTAACTGTTTATATTGCCTGGAGAAAATAGGATTCCTGTGGATAATTTTTGAGGCATTTCGTGGTGTGTACTAAGAGTGATGCCTTGGATATTCGGTGTGTATGGAATGAGTGTTCAGATCCTCGTTAGCAAATGCACTGTGATGATATAGGCTTGACAACAACTCGACGAAAAACAGACAAGGTCCTAGTACTATTTCGTATGCTACGGTTTTTCCTGTTCCTATGGAAAATTAAATTGTTCTATATGAAATTTATATGAGTAAACTTTAACTAGAATTTGAGAGACACGAATCTTTCACAAGATGTGAACGCGACCACCGAACAATTATAGCTCCTAAGTGATTTCACGACAAAAACCGACATAATTAAAAAAGTAATGTTACTATGTTAATTTTTTTATTAAAAGAATTGACCGATTTATTGAACACTTTTTAAATACATAATTTTTTATGATCCTTAATACTCCATATGATCTCTTTCTTTTGTTGTGTGGGTGTATGTTTTGGTTATGTGCATTTTAGCTATGCAGAGATAGAAAGTGTTCTCGGAGTAATTTTATCACCTTAATATAATTGATTGAGATCAATAAGGTTTTTATTAACTTTAAGAAAATATAGAATTTTGAAACCCGGCTTTCTAAGAGACATGGTGTTGCATGTGACATGAGTAGATGCTCAACGCTAACACGCCATATGTCCTCTTGATAGACACATTCACGGTCCATCGCACTTGAAGCACACATTAATTCCGCCCGATTTCATCTGCCGACGATACAACAACAACAAGCCACTTTCCCACTTGATGCCGATCGAGCTACTCCTTAAATAAATAAACCCCCTCCAACTCGCAAATCCCCAATTGCAATTTGGATCTTTAGTTCTTTATTCAAAGAAAAAAAAACAGCTTCCAAATCATTTCCCCTCCTCGTCTCCTCCAGCTAGAATCCGCGGCCTCCTAGATCCACTCCGATCGCAGCCTAGGGTTCGCCTTCGCCATGGCCGCCTCCACCGCCTCATGGTCGCGCTACGGCACCGTCCCGCCGGCGGCGGCGGCGGCGGCGCCTCCCCTGAAGCGCGAGGAGGTGGTGGTGGGCGGGGACGGGGAGGCGGCGGCGGCGGCGCCCTCGCCGTCGCCCGCGACGGCGGCGGAGGCCGGGGTGGCGTTCTTCTCGCGGGCGAGGGCGGTGGCGGGCGCCGCGGCGGGGAGGCCGAGGGCGTGGAGGGAGGTGCTCGACGCGACGGCGTTCTCGCGCCCGGAGAGCTGCGGGGAGGCGAGGGCGCGGGCGCGGCGGAACCTCGCCTACTTCCGCGCCAACTACGCGCTCGCGGCGCTCGTGCTCGTCTTCCTCGGCCTCGTCTACCGCCCGGTCTCCATGCTCGCCTTCCTCGCGCTCTTCGCCGCCTGGCTCGGCCTCTACTTCGGCCGCGGCGACGGCGAGCCGCCGCTCGCCTGCATGGGCCGCGAGGTCGACGACCGCGTCGTGCTCGCCGCCCTCTCCGTCGCCACCGTCCTCGCCGTCGCGCTCTCCCGCGCCGGCCTCAACCTGCTCGTCTCGCTCGTCCTCGCCGCCGCCGCCATCGGCGCGCACGCCGCGTTCCGGATGAACGTGTACCTCGACGAGAGGGACGCGTACGACGGATCGTCCTTCATGGGGAGCTCCTATGGCGGCTACGCGCTCCCAAGATGAAGAAGCATCAACACACTGAAATGAGATGAGACGAAGGTGTTTTTTTTTCTTCTTCTAAGAGGATTCTTGATGTGATTCTGATCTTGTGCTTGTGTTCTTGGATTTCTGTAGCTTGCAATGTTGTGTATAGAATTTTCGTTTTCATTTTTCAAGGGAGTTTTACATTTGTTTGATGTAGTATGCTCATTTGGGTGAATTTTTTGGGCTGATTATGATGATTTCAAGTTGCTTTGGAGGAAAATTGTCAGCCTGCCTAACTGTAAGCCATCCATCCTTCCCTTCTCAAAATAAAAAGAAAGAAAGAAAAATCAAGTTGTGAACTGAACATAACATCAAGATCAAAATGCAATACATCGAATGTTCATATGAATAAACCAACAGGTCAAGAAAAGGATTTATTTTGAAAAAATTAGCTGTGTAAGAAAGCTGTATATTATCAAGTGGCAACTGACCTTGAAGCAGGGACATGTTTGCCTAGCACAAAAGCTGATATTGCCAGTTTGCCAATACACAACTCTGGAAAACGAGAATTAATTCTGATTATGCTAATCCTCATCATATTGCAGTCATATTAATAAGAGTTGTACTGTTTACAAAAGCTTTCTATCCCCCCCCCCCCCAGTGCTATGATTCTCTTCTGAACTTCTATAGTTCTATGAACCAATATCTTGATGGTATCAGAGTCCTACCAGCAAGTTAGATATACAAAAGGTAATCCATGTAACCATCCCAGAATTAATTTTAGGAGTCCAATTGCTCACAAAATATAGAAAACTGTAATGCTTAGTTAAACCTATTTGGACCGACCAAAAAATGAGGGCGATGCAGTGAAGTTAAAAGCCACTCAACGCTTGGCGTCGATGGCTTGCTTGAGCTTCCTCCCGAGGGCATAGGCAAGGGGCGGTGGCACGGCATTCCCGATCTGCCTGTGCTTGTTCTGGATGTTGCCAGCGAAACGGTAGCTATCGGGGAAGCCCTGCGTGCATACAATGGTGACAGTGTCATGTAGGAACAGATCAGAAGATTCAGAAACAGATCAGAAGATTCAGAAAAAGGGCAACAAAGTTGCAGATGCAATAATGGCATCTCGGTAGAATGAATGCATGTTTGAACAGGTTCAAGAAGGAATGGACAAAGCAGTTCTGCCGAAAAGAGAGATGACAATATATCCATTGATTTATGGTTAAAGAACTAAATCTACTGCTACAGTGCTGATTGAGACAAAATGTAGTACTAAATTTACTTTGAAGGATAAAACTTCCTGAAAATTTGTTTGTTTGGGTTAGTCAATGACTTGATGATTAGTTAAGCATCATTAACCTGTTGCAGCAGTGAATGTATGGGGTGTGAAAATTGGTATGTGTACCTGGGATCGAGCACATTCACGGACAGTAATGATCCTGTCCTGCTCAGGATGGAAGCACATGCCGACCTTCCCCATTGGCTGAGGATCCGTTACAGAAGTGGGGAAATTGCCCTCCCAGTCCAACCTACCGTACAGTCCTTTCCACTGATTGTGCCTTTTGGCTGTGTTGGGCAAGCACCAAGGGATCAAGTCCACCATCTGCCCTGTGGACAGCTTCACCTGTACTTGCACAGTCAATGAACAGTAATTGGTGTTTACAGAGTTTAAAAATAAAACAGGAGGCAGGAGAAGTTAATTAGAGGGCCAAATGTTAGTACCTTTTCATCTGGCAGGTCATGCCAGTCGCAACCTGGGCGCTTTGGAATGTGCTTGCATCTTATGAGGTTCAGCTCATTCATCTCTTTAGATATGTGGTCATTCAGTGAAGCCATGTCGCTTCTAATCTTCTTCTGGAACCAAGACACAGGACCGCTTCCGTACTGTAGCACATCATACAAAGTTTATTCAACTGACATAAAGCGGCAGCTTAAGAACAGGAGAACTTGGCGAGTGAAGCTAGTGCGATATGTAGGGTATACCTGAATTGTTGGTTTGCCGGCGCCATTTTCCACAGCTGGTAGATCCCCAATTGTATCTCGAACTGTAATTGAGCGGAAAGGGGCTCCTGCAGCGGTGCTCTTGACAGCGGCGTAGAACTTGCCATCAGGTAGAGTTATTTTCAGCTCAGGGCTAGCAAAGACGTGCATTGGTTCAGGCCACTCTGGAAGAGTCTCTCCAGGTGCAGCGGCCCAAATGAATGCCCTTTTCCTGGACTGCGCAACACCATAAGCCCCTGCCTCTAAAATTCCAAATCGGACCTAAGAACATGTAAACAAGGTTAGAATGTATACAGAAATGGAAATGCTATAGCACAAGCACAAGTGAAGAGGAAGTGTCAAGCACCTGGTATCCCATCTCCAGGAGTGATGCCAGTGTCAATCTGAAGGTCTGTCCTTTGTTGAACGAGACAAAGTTCCTAACATTTTCTAAGAGAAAGAATCTAGGACGGAAATACTCCGCAAATGACAGGAATGCTAAGATCATCTCGCACTGGACTTTGCTCCAGGGACTTTGATTGAATCTGTTCATCCCAGAAAAACCCTAAAAAAGGATAGGTCAAAAGGTCAAGCAATTGGCTTGCAATGTCGAATGTGTTGTTAGGAGCTCCCTGGTATACAGGCAAAAGCCACATAGCAACTGACCTGACACGGAGGGCCACCATTTATGAATTCTACTTCGCCAGGCACGGGCAGATTCTTAATCTTGTCCTCAGAAAGTTTAGCTGCTCGTTCAGCAGCCTCAGAAGTGGAGATGCAATCATCAGAATCACCACACTTGTCCATAATTGCCCTGCATGATCGTATAGAGATACGTGCTGAAGATACAATTTACATATACATGATAAGCATATCAAAGAGGGTAAACAAAAATGGCGTACTTCAGAATCACATTGCAGTTTTCGACAAATACTGCAGCTTCTGGATGGTTTTCACCAAATGCATCCCCAGCAGGTTCTTCATATTCAATAGCCCATTTAGTAAGTGACAATCCTGTACAATCCAATGGTCAGAAGGTAACTGGAGTCAAAATGTTCCTATGAAGCAACATCTACATGAGCAAAGCATACCTGATCGCTGCAATCCTTCAGATAAACCTCCACAACCAGCAAAAATGTCAAGTGTTGCAAGACAGTTCTCTGATTGCCCATCCTTTGGTTTGTCTGAACCACCTAGCTCAATGTCACAAATTTGCTTTCCTTTGTTCTTTTTTGAAGCAGGTACCTTCCTTGTCAGTGTCACAAGTCTAACATTGGGCGGTAGCTGGTTAAAGATCATGCAAGACAAGCTCGGTCAATAATACAAAGACATCTCCCAGTGGAAACAATGCAGATAACTAGGGATTCTGAAGAAAAATTTGGCAGTAGCTGACCTGTTTGAGAGCTCCATTAGCAGGATCATATAAATATTCACAACAAAAGACATGTTCAACCACCGCTGGAAGATCTGAATTTGGAAGGTCATCCTTCAGTCGAACCTCACATTTTCCCTCTATCATCACCACAGGTACACTTATTATATCTTCACTGTAGTACACCTGGATCAAATCACAAAGTACACAACAATCAAATACCAAAGGCCAAAAAAGATAGGTTTAGGTGAAATCACAGTATTGCCAATGATGCAGATGATGGAAAAAAGGCAAACCTCTCGGATGTCTGATGAGTAGGCTTTTGTTGATGAAATGTCATCAGGTCGGTAAAACCTTCTTACTTTCACTTTTGTCGATTCTGGATTAGCTTTCCTTGATCCAGCAGGACCATGAACACTCAGCAGATGGCAGACTGCATAAGGTTTTAGACCCACATTCCTTCCAGCCTTGTAGGTCTCATGGCCCTCCCCTTGGGAGAAAAATTCAGGCCTGATATACAGAAAGTCATGGATGTTATACGTAATATTCTCAAAGACAAAGCTGCTCTCAGAAAGTAACTTGAATTCATTGCCAACTGGTTTTCTCTCACAGGAGCTACAGATGCCTGTGCCATTTCCAATTTTATCATACGGAAGGGAGAAGAATCCACCTTTCTCAGGCCAGTATAAGCTTTTGCAAATATATTCCACTGGCAGGCCCTTCCTTTTCCTCTCCTCTGCCTTGGCCTTTTCAATTCTCTTAGCTTCAGAATTCTCTTTTCTGTACTTGTGGCCCCAAGGCAGTGATTGGATATTAACAGTCACCAACTCTTTGATGTCACTTGCTTCAAATTCTAAACAGTCATTAGTCAAGAAAACCTCTCTATCATTTGCAGCATTGCCAAGAACAGTCTGTGAACCTTCTTGCAGAATTATCCCATGAATCATATTTTTACCATCAAGTTTCTCATACATATACTCAACAAAACACATGATGGTTTCTCCTGAATCATCCTCTGTTGTGACTGTCGCACCAACAGAAATACTGAGGTCTTGAACAATAACACATTTGTACAGAACTTCTCCAGACACTGTTTTTCCAGCTGTTTGACCTTCCCATTTGATTTCCTTGCGAGTATCTGCTGACGACTTTCTAGACCGTGTTGATGGTGGAGTCCTTGTGGCCTTCTCATCTTGAACATTTACCTCCTCTTCAGCATCATTGTCTTCATTTTCTTCTTGATCATCATCAATTTCCTTTGGTTCATTCTGATCTTCTTCCTTTGTATCCCCAGGGAAATAAGTGGCATAGTATTCACCCCATATCTTGCTGATCAACATTGTAGTTGTAGCACGCATAAGCTTCTTTCTCAGTATTGGACCCATTTTTGCGCTTGGGTTCAGATTCTCCCCTCTCATCTGTTGAGATTTTTTCTTGATGGCCAACTTTGTGTGCCTACTTTCCTCCATCTTTGCTAGAAGACCTGTGATGAAGGCACACCGTTTGACAGATTCATCTGGAAAGTCTGCAAACTGCTGAAGTATTATCTGTCCATGCACCACGACATATCTTTCAACGGTTGGTGCTTTCGATGATATAAATGCAGGGTGTCTACTGTCAAATTCTGCTACTTTCTTGATAACTTCAGCAAAAGAAAGCTTTGAAGCGCGACTTTGCTCTTTTAAAAGGGTGATGATACTAACAGCTAGCCTTGCTGTTTTCAGCACAGGCTCACACCATGGAGCATATTGCTTTGTTGGCTGGCGTAATTTGTACCTGGAATTGATTACCAGATGTAAATTAGAGAGAAGGTAAACACAACATGGTTGCAAAATTCCATGCTTCAAACAAAATGCCAAATTCGTGTGTGTGTGTGTGTGTGTGTAAGATATGTTATCCGAAATGCATTGAGTTTATTTTTCCATCATGAGCTGGCAATGATCAAGACTAACAAAGCTAAAATATGGTACCCCTTGGAGATAATGGTAATACAAAAAGAAAATAGAACTGCCAGGGTATTTACCAAGCAACGTCAGTTCGAATGGTTATGCAGATCATTGAACCACCAAATTCTACAACCCACTCTTTAATTGGGCTCAAATAAATTGGAACTCCTGGATCTTCCCGGCCAGATTTACTTGAGGAAGAATGTAACTGTGCTAGCTCAGCTGTTGAACAGCAACTACCATCATCCTCTCTCATAAAACCAGATCCAAATACCACAATATCATTTTCTGCACCAGCTTTCATAGGGATGAGCTCCAAAGAAATGAGTCTGGAATCTGAATTGTATAGAGCCCAGTTGTCAAGGATTCTTACAGGTACATCATCAGAATACATACCAATATCACTATCAAATATGTACTCATCCATTTCTTGGTTATATGGTTTATAGTAGGCTGGAAGTGGGTAGTCGTTGGCAATTTCAGTTTCACAAATCTTGATGTAGATATTTTTCTGTGAAGTTCCACGCTTGCCTCTCTGCTTCATCATTTTCCATTCTTCCTCTTCCTGCAACAGTCTTGCTAATTTTGCATCCTCATCCTCAGTCAGTCCCTTGTCTTGCCCATCCTTAATCCTCAGAGTTCCATTCGAGGGCATAGCTGGCAAATGTGTGAATCCTGCTCTTGATTTACATTCATCTTTCAGTGCAACAAGAACTGGCAGTGTGGCCAACATCTCATCATCATTGCCAGCTGTATGGTCTAATCCAATAAGCTGTTTATATATGAACTCACCAGAGGAGATCACAAAGTCTTTGGTTACTGTTCCGTTGAAGCTTCTGTTTGAATTAATGGAACGGACAACACCAGCAATTAATTCTTCTAAGTCCACCTGAGGATTTCCACCAACTGATCTAGCTAACTTCTTATAGACTTCAACACAGACACGTGCCTTCTCACTAAAGTGTTCAAAATAAGATCTGTAACTGCTTGCTGGCTTCACACATTTGTAATCTGATGTTTCTGTTGAGACCCAAATTACTGCAGCACCTTCATCATAGCCAGAAATCGCCCAGTTTTCAATTCGTCCAAACCCCGAACAACATATTCCCTTTCCCCTATCCTTTTCCAGATCATCATCCAAGGGCATGATAAGAGCTGTTATGAAAATGTCATCAACTTCAGACATTTCAAAGGGTTGCAGATTACCATCTCCATCATGTAAGATGAAATCGATGATTTTTCTGCAAGGTTGACCATCTTCAGGTCCCGTCCTTGTCAAATTAACAGCCTCTATTTCCTTCTCTTCAACCCGACTTTCCTTGATTGTGATAATTGAATCTTTTTCTGATAAGTCCAATGACTTCTCTTTGAAGTTAGAACAGGCAGCTGCTCTCTTCGGTCTCTTGCTGGCAACAGGCTCATTACCAGGTTCAGTGGCACCATTGCTCTCTTTCTTGGAAACATCAAATTCACTCTCCAAGTTTTCATTCTCAACAGGCTCATCTTCTTTATGAACCTTTGCTCTACGCCTTTTTGTTCCTGAGAGACAAAATGGTGTTGGTTATATTACAATTTGAAATAATTGGATACCATACAAGCATGTATCCATCAGATGAACCAAGCACGTTAAAAATATAAACAAGTAAATCAACATCAGCATCTTACTTATAACTGTCAAGCATGTATATGTAGAAAGCTATTGCAAGATTCTAGATTGCAAGCAAGATCAAACATGATAACTCCAAGTGATTATGAGTGATATATGCAGGCATATAATTATATATGTGTGTGGCTCTAGTTGAATTCAGTAACTCACAATGGTAAAAATAAGCTGTAAGCTACACTGCATAAACTGCCTTACGATCTGACTAAAACTTAGTTAAATCATAAATGCATGAGATGTTATGTGAAAGTGAGATAAGCAGTTACAAAGTAGACAGAAGAAGACCTGTGGTAACAACAGAACGTGGACTTTTCGCCATAGCTCCCCTGTAAATTTGGAATCAAGCAGGCATTTCAATTAGAAGTTCAAAACAAATATAGGAACCAAAATGCAAAACTCAAGAGTTTAGCAAGTACATCAAGAAGTTTGTATGACATCAAAAACAGTTTACAAAAAGAAAATAATAACAGCAACACACCATCACCGCATCATCTCCTTCTTGGAGAATCCTATTAGTTTCAGCAGACGGTTTCTATAGCATATTGAGCTAGGCTCCATAAGGAAGCTACAGTTATACTAGTGTACAACACAAGTTGATCCCATTCCCATGTGCAAACACAAATGCGCTAAGTTAACAACCCCACATAGATTGCTGAATGTGTAACGTACTACAGTGCACTAAAATTAAATAATTTATTTAGATAATGGAATAATGTAATAAACACTTTATTCTCATTAGTATTATACCACATAGATTGTTGAATGTGTAAATAGTGCAATGCATTTTCAACAGTGGTGCAGCAACCACTGATTTAATGAAAGCCACATTACTAGAGGGCCACACAGAGCATAACAAGCAGCAGTGCAAAATCCTGAACAGCTTCCGCTCGATTATCATTCACCAGTCAACAACAATTCAGCTACTAGTAAATCCGAGGAAGAGGGGTGGGGCGATATACCTTATAGGTAGAATCTGCAGGCTTCACCACGGCGGGTCACTGATCCATCGCCGAGTTCGCAACCCCTGCACAACAAAACCAGCCGCATTAACCATCAAAGCGCCATGCTACTCGGAGCATGAAAAAAATGGCACCAAAAACTCAAATGGACTCATCCACATTCGCACAGACGAAATAGAGGACACGCTCGCGCACAGCATCAGCAGTGGAACAAGCGATCGAAGATGATACGGAGCAGACGAACAAAATCGCCGCCTCACCCACCACGCCGATACACCCAAAAAAAAAATCTCGGCGAATGTACGATCGCGTCAGAAAACAACACAGCGTGAAGCCGGACGCGAGCCGACCGAGACGCCGCAGACACACCGCATCACGCGACCGCGATCAGCTCTCCCCACGACACCACGATCAGCGACGAACCCCCACAAGCAACCAAGGCAGAGACAAAACTACCAACCAAAACCCACCACCGCACGCGCAATCGCGCCACGCGAACCAAGCAATCGAAGCAGCGCGAGGAGGGGGAGAGGGGATTACCGGCGGGAGCTAGTCGAGGAGGAGGGCGCCGTTGGTATGTGGAGCCCTTGTCCTTCTCCCTGGGGTTTTCTCTGTGGTGGTGGGGTTTGGAGGGGGAGAGGAGGCGAGGTGAGGCGACGTGGGGGTGGAAGTGGAAGGGGAAGCGGAGGGGACAAGAAGGCGGGGGATTTGAGTTTTTGGGGCTGAGTCCCGAGGAGACGAGAGAGCGGGACCCCTTGGGCGGGAGCCCCGAATATTTCGAGTTTGGACTTTGGCTTCCTTTTAAAAATAATACTCTCTCCATTTCAAAATGTTTTACACCGTTGACTTTTTAGCACGTGTTTGACCGTTTGTCTTACTAAAAAAATTTGTAAAATATATAAAACTATATGTGTACATGAAAGTATATTTAACAATGAATCAAATGATATGAAAAGAATAAATAATTACTTAAATTTTTTGAATAAAACGAATGGTCAAACACGTGCTAAAAAGTCAACGGTGTCAAACATTTTGAAACATAGGGGGTAATAATAATAAGCAGAAAAAGAAGAGAATGAAATACAAAATGAATTTATATTGCGTTAATTAGATTGTGGCCAAGTTTAATTCCAAACTTTTTCTTCAAACTTCCAACTTTTCCATCACATCAAAACTTTCCTATACACACAAACTTTCAACTTTTCCATCATATCGTTTCAATTTCAACCAAACTTCCAATTTTGGCGTGAACTAAACACACCCTGTACTGTGTATTCACCTAGCCATCTGTTCCTACGAAATTTATGTATATTCAAATCATATGTTTTGTACATGTATTCCTATCACATTCCTATTTTTTTTCCAATCACTGTGTTCGTTCAACCTACATCCCGAATGAGCCCTAACCACTCTCCACTTAGGGCGTGTTTAGTTCATGCTAAAATTCGAAGTTTGGTTGAAATTGGAACGATGTGAAAGAAAAGTTGAAAGTTTATGTGTGTAAGAAAGTTTTGATGTGATGGAAAAGTTGGAAGTTTGAAAAAAAAAAGTTTGTAACTAAACTCGGCCTTAATAAGAAACACTGTAGCATTTTCTTTTCAAACCTTGATCTCTGGTAAACAATTTCAAGTTATTTATATTTGGGAACAGAGTAAGCAGTAGCACGTTTCATCACGCATGGAGTGGTAAACTGATAATCTAGAGCTTATACATTCTCAGCTTAACATCCAGTTAACTACAAGGAATTCCAGAGCTTATATATATACATGCATGATGAATGCACCAGCAAATTCAAATACACAAGCATAATCTAGTACTACTAGCTACGTGGAGACAACATGAAGTCCCTAGCTCTAACAACTGATACTTAACGATTAACATCTCATTACAGATCACATACCTAGGTACAATGGTTGAAGAGAAAAAAAAGGAAAATAATGGTTGAAGAAGGTAGATGATCAGAAGCCCAACATGGCTTGTAAAATTAGTAGCATTTATCTACATATTAGTGAATTGGTGTGGCTTGAGCCTCACACAAATTGGAACCGATTCGCAGATCAATCAAGGGCTGACAGCCCAATGAGTGAAGCCAATCACAGATGGTTCAGAAACGAAGCAAAGCTCTGCATCAGCTATGGCAACTTTCAGTGTCAGGTTGGGGTGGAGCTGGGGATGAGGACACATCCACATCTGGCCTTCTATAGAACAATGTCACCATGAATCCAGTGGCCGGGGAGCCTACCGATGAGCGCATTCGGCTCTTTGGTCCTTTCTCAAGCCAGCAATCTGCTAGATCATGCAGTGTCATCCCTTGGTTCACTACTTTGCCACCACACAACACTTCTACCTGCAACCACGACTCGTTGGTGAGAGCAGAAGAAAATAGGCTGTGCAATGAGCAGAATGTTCTGTCAACTTTTGTCAATATAGGGTAATAATTTCACATGTTGCAAGTGTCAAGCAGCACCATGAAACTTGAAGCAGCGAACAGTTATGTTGTTCATTGCAAAGACAAACGTGGTTATGCGCAAAACAAAGTGGCAAAAGTATCTACAGCACAAAATCAACTGAACACCGGTCAGCTTCAGCCTTCAATCAAGCACCAATTGGAAACAGTATGGTGAATTTTCTTGCCTTTTCAAATATAATCATGAAGTAAGTTGTTTTCCTCCAAAGAACAGCTAAGAATGTGCCATAACTACATCTAACTATGTTTAGATTGTGAGATTTTAGCTCCAGTTAGCCAGTCTTGTCCCTGGCAGGAAAGCCAAATATTGATGGAATTCTTTCTCACTGCTGATTCTAACTAATCTGGATACTGGCACAAAAAACAGACTGGTTTTGATGATCACTACAAGAAAGAAATATGTAAAGACATACCTCAGTTTCACTTGAGAGGTTAAGTTTCTGTGCAAGGTACTTCTGTATAATAGAAGCAGGCAAATCAACATCCCTTTGACAAATATAACAAAAGGCAGTTGTTAGTGTGGCTTAACAAATACTGTTTTGACTAGAAAAGTGCAACCAAATAACTCACTTGATCCTCAAATACTTTGCTGGTAGTTGTGGTAAAGTTGGTACTCCTCTCCTGAAATAATTACAAACACAAAGCATGATTTCTGCTTTTCCTTTGAAGAAACGGCACAAATCTCACAAGACAAGTCTAGTGTTTCTCACTGGTCAAAAGCAGCAAGTAGATAAAACCATAGTGCTCGGAATCTCCTCTTTTTACTGGGCTGCTTTGCCTTGAACCTTTTCTTTTTGTTCTTCAACATGAGCAATTTCTTTCTTCCAGTCCTCTTAGCTGCACGCCCATATCTTGTAAAGGGTTCTCTAGCCTTTGCTTTACTAGCAGGAGCACCATCATCTGTATCACCAGACTTACTTTTGGTTCTGTTTGTATCTTTTACACTTGATTTGAGAGATTTTTTGTCTTTGCCAAGCTTAAGTTGACAACCCAATGGTCTCCAACCCCCAAGTTTCTTTGATGTATCTTTACTGCCCCTCGAGGTAGAATGCTACATCACAAGGCGGGGAAAAGAAAATTTATTCATTAAAATCAGACCAGAAAAAAATACTCTACACAACAGCAATAAAAATCGCATCGATTTAGAATTTGGAGGGGAGGGGCATCGGTTGCATTTAATTCATGCATAACATCTCCTTTGCAACAAAAGGTATTTGGAGGATTTTTGAAGAATTTCAATCCTAACGAAACTTTCCTATATGTCTTTGGAACAAAGGTATTTGGAGTATGAAATTTCTATGGATTGCCTCAATTTGTAGGAAACTATTTGAGTTTTGAAGGCAAAATAAAAGTATTGTGCATCTATCATTAATGTCGCCTGGACTATAAATAAATTCAGAAGATTCAGATAACCATTTGTTATGTATTAGCCCGTAAATATTCACATGTTGACTATCACAACCTTTAGCATACCAATAACACATGCGGACAGTGCCAAGAACTGTTACCTAGCACACATCTGTGATTGTGCCAGCTGCAATAATACGACAATAGCTGGCATACCATGTAGATGGCTCTATGGCACTAAAACAATGGAAATACATGGTATGACCTAACCTATAGGGTTGCTTACAGCATTCTGGTGATGCAGAGTCACATTCATTTGAACAATTCTAATAGTGGATTTACAGATAAGAAATTAGAATTCTTCACACATCCGATTCTCAGGGGAACTATTACAAGAGAACTACATACCAAAGGAAAGTTGCGTAAGCACGAAGCTTTCGTTCTCCTCTTTGTCAAACATTTCTGTATAGACACCTGAGGAGCAGGGATTGTAAGTGAAGATAGTGATCTTTCTTTCCTCTTGACAGGTGACGCAACTGGACAAATGATTTCTGGGTTCTCAACCTTCCTTCGTTTGAAAGGAAATATCCTTGACCTTACGAATTGCATACTGTGATCAACTCTGAACAAAACACAATTGAAAATACCATAAGCTACAATATCACAAAAAGGGAAAGTAAAACTTGTTTGTTATATGCTGCTGATAACTCGGTATCAAGCGGCTAAAGATTAATCAAGGTGTGATCGTGTGAACTAAGTTTGGGCTCATCTCACCCCTTTCGAAGTTATAACTTGTAACGAACAAACAACTAATCATTAAAATAAACCGAGCAAAAACAAAACAATTATAAAGTCTTTAAGACCATCCAAGCCAAGATTGAACAGATGGAGATTATTATGATGTTATAACAGTCCATGTGATGCAAACAGAACAGTGGCACAGCACTAGGCTGGTATTGCAAAATCACGATTATCACTGGCAATTGAGGAAGAACATAGTGTTGTATGCATAATAATATCAAAAAAGCAGGACACAATAGTTGTTATATTGATGGAGGAAGGATGATTGCTCACAGAAGACTATCTCATTTGTACATGCAAGAGAGCAGAGGTGGTAAAGAAAAAACTCTCCCAACTCCCAAATGTCACTAACTTCTTAGGTGTATGTACATGCGCTGCATTGAAATCGCAATATCAAATTGGGGGCATGACATAGAAAAGAAAATAATACAATAACTGAACAATGGTTTTAAGCCTCAGAAGTATGCAATAGTGTAGATAAAATATTTCAGGGAAACAGTGACAAAGACAAACCTGAGTTTCTCCAACGGAGCACACCCCAGATCAATGTTGCAAGTAGGGCAGCAGCAGGACTCCTTATCGACGAACTCCTCATGTATACACTTTCTGCAGACTGGTTAAAGGTATAAATCAATGGTTGAAGCACGATATTACAAGAATTAACTGGTAACAGATCAAGTGTTTCTATTGGCAGCTGTTGGCAGTAAGACTCCCCAAATTTACAAAATTTTGGTTGGACACTGGGTAGAGTTGTTACTCCAATACTATTGCTTTATGAATACGTTGCAAGAGTCATAAAAAATATGGAATGAATCAGTGTGCCCACATTAGGATTTTTCTCCTCTCTTATTCCAGAATAACTTAGAAATAAGAAGGACCAACCGAATACAGAATACTAGATTATCTATATATTTGGTTGCCTAACTTCCTAATGAGCTCACCCATCATTCGATCAGTATTACATGCCAAGCATCCATACAATGGCACAGTTACGATATTTCAACAAACTAGAAAGAAAAAGAACTAAGCATGTTTCCAAGAATGAACAGTAACTAGTTATTGTTTATAACAAGGCCACTCAACATGTTTCAAAGAATGAAGTCCCCTGACAATAAAAAACGATGTGTATGCAACCTTTGCTTCATGCATTTAAGCACCTGACAATAAAAAAAAAATGGCATACACTACACTAACCAAAAGTGCCACCTTTTACACATCCTCTTGCCCCTTTTCTTCCTGATGAAAATAGGGAGGACCTTCCTACTCTCTTCATAAATTTCATTAATCTTTTTTTGTATATTTGCCTGACAAGTTTTCTAATCCTCGCATCGAAGAAATAGATCATCATGAAATTAAATATTATTAAATAAGTAGCGTGCGCCCCTTTCTGGGCAAACGTAATTCGTCACCGCACAAAAGTCCACCGCAACCGATCACTTCCACTGGCCTGATAGCCTCATCCCAAATCCCCGTAGAACACATGAGCTGATGAGCAACGAACCCAGGAATCACAAGCTAGGCCCTCCTCGACATGCCGACATCGAGAGATATTCACGCACCACCTCAAAACCCCACGGAAATGGCACAACCAAATTCCTATTTCGCGAACGAACGATGAAAATCATCCCACCTTTGACGCACCAACGGGGAAAAAAAAATAAGCCCACGCAGAAATAGCTCATGGAACGGCGGAAACTGCCACCTTCCATGCGTCACCTCAAAAACCCACCCCGAATCACCGCGCAAATGTGCAGATTTGACGCGTGGGGACGACCTCCCCAGCGCGCGGGGCGAGAAAGCGTGGGGACTGTGAGCGGAGCAGGGTGGAGGAGGGGGACTCACAGGTGTGGAGGCACTCGGAGATGGTGGTGGCGTCGCGGAGGAGGCGGCCGCAGAGCGGGCAGGTCAGGCACGCCGCCACGCTCGCCCGCCTCACCATCACCACGTCCCCGCCGCCTCCCACCTCCTCTCCAGCGGCATCGCCCGGCGTGGCGCCCTGCATGCCCGGAGCGGCGCGCGAGCTCACGATTTCGCGAGGTGGACGAGCCTGCGCGACGGCGACAGCGACAGCCAGCGCGCCGCGCGATCTCTCCTTCCTTCTCCTTCCCCTACGCCGCCTGGGTTGGAGACGGAGACGCAGACGCAGACGCAGACGCAGACGAGGCGAGGCGACGTGTGCAGTCGGGGTGTGGGTGTGTGAGCAACTGCAGTAGTAGGGGGGATCGATTGGGTTCGTTTCTGAAACTGAAACATTTGTGTTTTTGCAACGCTGAAACTGCCAAAGACAGTCTCGCCTTTCGGCTGGTCAAGCACATGTGGAAACGAGAGCCCAGTGGTGGAGGAGCTGATCAAATGTTCAAGGAAAACGTATAGGCTGAAGCAGTGGCGGATCCAGAAAATCGATTTGTTGGTGTCAGAACGTGCTTATCGGTGTCATAGTATGCTAATTATATTTAGATCATGATGTTATAGCATATGGATAAGCAGTTTCGCTATAGTTTTTGCCGAAAGTCGTCGGTATCGTCTGACACCGGCTCTTCTCCTGTAGATCCACCCCTGGGCTGAACTCTCGTTCAGAAATTTGGGCCTGAATTCCCTCAATAGTGGCAAAATGCCCGCGAAGAATTTTGAGGGATAGTCATATCTGACATTTCACGCTTAGCAAGCTAAAAGGGCCTTGTTTAGTTCCAGACTCTTTCTTCAAACTTCCAACTTTTCCATCACATCAAAACTTTTCTACCCACACAAACTTCTAACTTTTCCGTCACATCGTTCCAATTTCAACCAAACTTCCAATTTTAACGTGAACTAAACACACCCAAGGTTTCACAGTTGTGCCTTCGTCTCCTCGTCTCCTCGTGTCGCATCCAAAATCGCGCCTACACTGTGAAAATGCTGGCCTTGGACCAATCTCGCATCTTCAGGAGGGCTAGAGACACGCTATGCGTGATTGCGTGTGTTGTATTGCTCCTGCCCTAAGAGCAGTCACGGTGCTTCTACATGGCATATGGCCCTCGAAGTGTTATATAGGAGACTCTCTTCCATGTTCGCTGCAAGAGCGACCAAACACACCCTATGAGATCTCTCATGTCCTCGTGAGAAACCATCCGAAATGAATGCCTGACGGTTGGTGCAACTATGTTTTACTCATGCCGTGGAGGTCGTGTTGGCTTAGCGTGGCCTTGCTCTCCACCACGTCCCTTGTTCCCAAAACCAGCCTGTACTATTTTCCTCGCGCCTTAGATTTTCTGGACCCAAGACATTTTCCACTTTGCCGTATGGAATGCATGATATGGTAAGCGAGGCCGAACAATCGAGTACTAGCTACCACTATTATTGTCCTAAACAGGTTTAATTTCATCTCAGCAATCAAAGGATTGTAAAATGAAGTACTCTACTATTTTTCTCAAGGGCAGGGCACTACAAAGCCAATACACATGCTTGCAGCCCTGGGTAAGTTTGTTCGTGATGAGAGGAACTAAGGATTATTTTTTTTAACAAAAACTAAACGTGCAATTTCTAAAAAAAATTGTTTACAGATTAAATTCTTAGAATATTATTCTTAATCTATTTTCAGTATTTATATCATTTTATTGGTTCTTTCCTACTCTAAAATAATGGTACCATCTCCATCATGAAAATTATAGGAACATAGAATCAGATACTCCCTCCGTCCGAAAAAAAATCAATGTCCGGATTCGTTGTCTTAGATGGTGTTTTTTTTGGGAGGGAGGAAGTAGAATAATAGTATGAATATGTAAGGGGTATGTCTAGATTATATTCCATCTGATTTTTATGTTGTTATATTTTAGGGTAGATGAAGTACCATTTAACCATTGAGCTGAAAGAACGGCCCAGTTGCCGCGTCAACACTCACGTGGGGTGGCGTCCCATATGAGGCCGTGGCCCATGGGCCGAAACCTGGAGTCCGTGACCCGGAAACGCAGGACAAAGGAAAAAGTACACCGAAGGTCCCTCAACTTGTCATCAAGCTAAAAAATGTTAAAACCAGATATCCGACGTGCCTTAACTAATTAAAGCTAAAATTGGTTATATAGCATTGAAAGTTCACGTTTTTGGTTTTATAGCACCGAAAGTTACCGGTTCACTTTAATAGCACCCAAAGTTCACCATGTTCCCATTTTTAACACTTCCGTCAATTCTCGATCGTTTTCTGTCCGTCTTGATCCAGCCACACACACGATATGACGTTTCTACCCCTCACAAGTACAAGTATAATGCATGTCAATGAGGGGTAGAAATGTCATATCATGTGTGTGGCTAGATCAATAACGATCAAGACGGACGGAAAAATTGACGGAAGTGCTAAAAATGGGAACAGAGTGAACTTTGGATGCTATTAAAGTGAACCGGTAACTTTCGGTGCTACAAAACCAAAAATGTGAACTTTCGATGCTATATAACCAATTTTGCCCTAATTAAAACCAGTCACAATAGGTCATAGAGCAGTATTGCATCCGATTTTATCCGATGTGACGGCTGAGCTAGCGTGAGACCTACGTGGAGCCCACATGTCAGGGTGATCCACGTCATCACCCTCCCTCTTTCTCCTCTTCTCTCTTTCTAGGCGAGGCGAAGCAGCGGCCAGCGGGTGCAGAGGACGGCAGGCAAGGCGGGATAGAGGACGAGGGCGGCCCCGCAACGGATTATATTTCCCGGGAAGCAACAACGGAGTCTCCTACTCTATGTTCTACTGCTGCAGGTAAACAAAGCAATGATGCGTTCGCAACTTTGCATGCCACGGAATCACATCGATTTTAGGGGAAAAAGGTTTGAAGTTAGGTGATGAGTTGATGATTGATGGTAGAGAATTATGATTTGAGTTCACTTACTGTCCAAGAAACATTGCAAGTTTGTAAGCAACCTACTCCAATCTACTCATTATGTCCCATTTTAAGTGCAAATATAAGTTCAAAAAATTTTCAAATAAGACAGACGGGCAAAGTTGGTCGCGAAAAACCATAACTATACTTAAAATGGGACGGAGGGAATATATATCTTCTCTAAAATAATACTTATGAAAGCAGTTGTCACTCGCAGAAACCATTCTTTTAACACATGAATTTGTTAAAAGACAGCTTGATAATTACAGGGAATTGCGAACGAATACCGAATTTCAATCACGACGCCCTTCTATAATTCTGTGTACATAGCTCTAAAATCTGAATAGTTCTTTTTGCTTGTGGATCCACGAGGCTAGAGACTTGAGAGTCAGATTGACGAAGCATGCAGGCAGTTCTTTTTGCTTGTGGATCCACGAGGCTAGAGACTTGAGAGTCAGATTGACGAAGCATGCAGGCAGAGGGGGTCCAGTTCGCATGACGATAACAAAATGAAAATGTAAGTTAGGTGGATCAACCAATTGAAACATGTGGTACTTTCCCCTCTTCTTTCCGGTGAATTATTAGTCTCTCTTCCTCAATGGAATAAATTAGTCTTCCGTTGTAGTTTTTCCACGTGCATTGATATTGCCCTTATACAACCTATTGACAACTCAAACATGGCAACACTTTACATTTCCTGCCCACCCGATCAACTTTACCCCTAACGGTCATCTCGATTAGATCCAGATCTTCCTCAGCAAAATAAGACAATAATCTCTAAAATCTTTAAATTACTAGCAAAAGTAACATGGTAACACTTTATATTTCCTGCCCACCCGATCAACTTTTCCCCTAACGGCTATCTCGATTAGATCCAGCTCTTCCTCAACAAGATAAGACAATAATCTCTAAAATCTTTAAATGACTGCAAAAGTACATTGTTTAAACGAGATAAAAAAAAGCTGGTATGGCTTCACTTCATCACTTGCATATATTGATGCACTGCAGTGTATATAGTTTGTTCAATTAAAAATATATTTTTACTCACTAATTTAAACTATGGAAGAAGACGTCTCTCTCATGCTAATTACTAGGAAAGGGTGTATCTGTCCTTCCTAAAATTAACTCCGTAAATAATCCCAGTACATATATTAAGAATAATAAAATAATTAACGAAAGAATAATTAGCATTGAACAGCTGCAGTATTGTTGATAGTGGTTGTGAGATGTATTACGTTGAGAGTAAGGTTGAATGTGGTCGTACTCATATTAAGTACCATTCTTGGTAGTCATATTGTACATGATTGGGTTCCGCATCTAATATATCTTGTTTATTGGTCTTAAACCAAAACTTTGGACCTACATTGTAATTAAGTAAATTTTCGAAGCCACTGTGTTTTTCGTTAACAATAATAAATTCATATTTATTAAATTTCTTATTTTTGAATACACTAAATTAATATGTTTGTTAAGTAAAAAAGAATATTATTTTTTAAATAAAAATATTTATATTAATTCATCTTAAATATAAATTACTTTTTTGTATCATATATATATATCCACTTATTTGTAAGTAATATAAATTTGGAATATATAAAATACGATATTCCTTTCTATATAAGTAAAATTATAAATAATTATTAATAGTTGTATAGTAACATTATTTGTTTTATGATACAATACAAAATGATAGTTTAAAAATTACCTAACTTTATTTAAACTCCTTCAATCCTTAAGGATGTTAACTAAATCGAGCTAACACAAATTAGATTAATAAGATGGACGAAAAAAAAGACCTCACACTTAGATATTCTTATTGTTTTGTGTAAAAATTGATTTATACGACAGATGAATATCATTTATATTGGATACTGAAAGAATATTTGATTACTATAAATAATTAATTTATACATATGGATAAATTGTATTATACATTCATCTAATAAGAGACTAATAATGAGTAGCAAACTTAGATTTTTAATAACAGCTTGATAAAAATATTTATTTACAAAATAATATATATATATATATAATTTATTTTAATATTTTTAATTAATGAAATTGCATAAAGACATGTCATTGTTGTACTCTACATTATTACTTAGAAATATAAATACTCATACTCTTATCATCAGTTATAAACTATTTAACATATAATATATGTGTTTAAAGATAGTGTTGTTTTTGGTAATATTTATAGTGTATAACAACCACCATATTCATGACAAATGTCACTCTCCCTTTTTTTATAAGAGTTATAATTTTTTTGTTGAACTATCTGTAGCAATCATTTTATAACACACACATTTTAAAATGAAGTTAGTAGGACAAAAGACTTAATTCGCGCACATCCTCTCATATCTCCACCCACACTTTTTCTTTAATTTGTGTCAGCCCTAGCTTCTCTTGTAAGACCTGTCAGCTGCTCTCCTCTTAATTTGCCTTAATCCCAGTACTAATAACAGTTTAGTTTGTAAAAAAAAAACATATGGTGCATGTCTCCATTTTAGGCCTACCCTGCCAATAGTTACAGCGACTCGATTTCTAATCTGAACATGTTTACGTCCACCAACTTCCAATACAAACGGAAGGTAAAATAGTTGGATTTCGGATTTCATGTACAATGCGGCTAGGGTTTTTTGGACGTACCGCAGCTATGTGAATCGGGGGATCATGATGGTTTCTATAGACTTTTTTTTTTTTGGAATATCCTTGTAGAGTCGTACTGGTCATCATCAATAAATAACAGGTCTAGGGATACGGTTTTTCTCATTTTTTTAATTGTTTTTCTCCACGGTACTTGTGGCACATACTCCATATTTATTGTAAGGAGGTGACATCCTCTTCTAAGTTGGTTTTTTTACAGAGGAAGTAGTTTGCAGGCGCAAAAGCTTCTCGATTAGGCTACGAACTCTGGCAGGGAGCAAATGCTCAGTCAAATCCCTGTGCAGCCATGCATGTGGTGACCGTTTCACCCCCCCCTCCCGCCCTCCTGGTTGTGACTGGCAGCGTGCATGTCTGCCACGCAAATTTTGTGTGGTTGTATTTTATGTCCTCGAATGGACTGATGCTCCGTTGTGTTTTATCTGAAAATTCCCTCGTGTTTCACAGAAATACAACACGAAAAAGAGAAAATTCCGTTTCTAGCGGTAGCGGCTCAAGGGATGTAAGCGGGTCGACCCACGAACTTACTTATATGTTAAATAAAGGGTAATATGTGGGTTTTCACGTATTAACTTGGCTTGCCACATTGTAGAGAAACAAGTGGATCTACCCATAAACTCATTTATATATCAAATTGGTATATAAGCGGGTTTGCGGATTGATCTGCTTGCATTCCTAGGTAGCGCTGTAAAATAGAAAAAACACATGATTTTTCTCGAAAAAGAACCCAATATATCCCCTCCCGAACTCTACCCGCCGTCTCCCACGGTCCCACCTCCTCCCAACAGCGCCCCACCCACGCCACGCATCGACGGCACGGAGAGGGTCCCTCTGACGTGAACTGCCCCATGACGTGGTCACTGATAGGTGGGCCCACGAGCGGTGGGGCCCACATATCAGTCACCACGTCCCTCTGACTTCACGTTTGAGGATCCCAATCCCCGGCGGCGTAGCCCTGTCTATGCCGTCGTCCGCCCTCCCTTCGCCGCCATCCGACCTCCCCTAGACACGGCCTTACGTTCTCCCCCCATCATTGCCGTGCGCCATCCCACCGCCATCACCTTCAACGACCGCCCTTTTCCCGCCGTCGCCGCCTCCCCCCTATCGTCATACCACCGGGCGCCGCCCTCCTGGCCAGCGGATCCGGCCTCCGCCGTAGTCCCGTATGCCGCCGCCTACCCTCGCCGTCGCCGTACGCCATACGCCATCCCCCCACCGCCGTTGTGTGCCATTTGGCGTCGGTCCCCCCTTCCCCCTTCTTCGTCCTCCCCTCAGCAGCGTCGGAACTGGCGCCGGTATCCCCCTCCCCTCGCAGTGGGGTGGCGTGGCCTACTCTTGAAGGAGGCTGGCGAGGGCCTTTTCGCCAGATCCGGCGGCCTCACCACTTGCTAGCACCAGATCAGGCGGTGGCGGCCGTCAAAAAGAGAGGGGACGCACTCCCCTACGCGCAGCCAGTGGAGTTGGTCAGCGACAACGGCGCCGTCCTAGTTGGCGTTGCCAGCCGGTGAGTTAATCTGCTCCATCTCTCTCCCTTGCTGCTACTGCTGCAGCTTGGAAGAAGCGCGCGGGGCATTTCTTGCGTGCCGATCACCTACGACGTGAGGCTCCGGACGACTCTGGGGAAGGTGTCCATCATGAACGATGGCTCCATCGCCGGCGGCTTCGAGATCGGTCAGGGGCTATGGACAAAGGTGAAGCAGATGACCGCGTTCGCGCTGGGCCAGTTGTGCGATGATCTCGACAAGGTCCATGTCATCCTCATCCAGGCTGACACACTGAGCATGATCCATCAAGGAGAAGGCTGGTACCCTACCATGGAAATCCTTGATTGCCCAGGTGAGTATTAAGCCTTGTAAATGTCCTTTTTAAAAAAAAGAAATCCAATTCCTGTGACATCTTCGTGGCTATAATTTCCTTCTTTCTATGTGATCAATCTGCTGCGTTTCCATTGATGGAACTGGGGAGTTCTGCTCCTCCGTTTCAAAACGAATCTTTTTTTTTTCAACTGCAAGCATCAGTAGGCTGATCTTATTTTCTGAATGATCATCTTCTGGATGCATTGTAAATTTGTAATTTGTAATGGGAATTGATTTAATTTGCTCCACCCCGCTTTCAGGCAAGCATGGCGAGTGTGAAGCTGACGGAGCATACGTACTGGACCCCTGACCCGACGTTCCCTAGCTACTTGAACTATGGACCTGCGGTTAGTGAGGTACGCACTACAAATACCCTGATCCATATTAGTACTACAACAGAAGCTCTGAAAATGCATTTGCCAAACCAAATCTCAGAGCTTGACCTAAAATTTACATATGAACATTGTAGGTGGAAGTGGATATGCTGACAGGAGCAACCACCATCCTAAGGAGCGACCTCATCTTAAAGACCTAAAGCAGGCTCATCTTAAAGACCTAATGCAGAGTCCAAGATCTTGCATCTTATTGGGCGACGTGGCGCCATAGAAATCAGCAAAAGTCCCCTCCCAATATCTGCCATGTGTCCACTCCGAGGAGATGCTCCAATGTACTATATCTATGAATGCTCTAGGAAGAAAAATAAATAAATAAATTAGTTGGTCCATGAATTCTTTAGAAAAGTAAAGAAGTTACCTAAAGAAGATGAAGAGGTAATCTTTGTATACTCGGAAGGTGACTATTTACTATCCCATTCCCCTCCATGCATAGGGCAGTAAAAGAAGGAGAAGGTTACTATTCCTACTCTACACATAACAATCAATCCAGCTAGCTATCGATCTCTCCATTGCTCCATCGCTCGGTTAGATCTATCACCAGCACAAGCGCTATCGATTTCTCACCCAAATCCATCCGCCATCACCATCCACTTCCACCATCGGCGCTATCACTCGCCCAAATCCCTTGCCACTGCCGTCCGCTTCCACCACCGTTGCTAAGATCCATCGTCATCAACTCCACCAGCAGTTCACGCCTTCCACCATAGTGTCGCCACGCCGGCGTTCGTGCCCACAATTGTTGCCGTCAAGTCCTGAACTTCTAGAAGGGCAAAGCAAGTAAGTTCACGTTTCTGTTCCTTTCTCAGGTAATAGCTAGTGAGAACTGTTCCATTTTCAATTCTCTATTTTGTTTACTCTAAAAAGGCATGTGAGTTGTCAAATACAAATATTCATAACAACTAAGTATGGATTCTTTAGATTATTAGTTTGAGCAAACAAGAGCTTAGATTGGCCTGATGCCTAAACTCCCCTCCATCAATATAGTTCTCTGAACTAAAGGAAATTTATATGCATAAATGCAATATTATATTGGACTTACTAAAAATGTTTTAAACACAGAAATAAAATAAAGTTGGCTGCCAATTTCTGTAGATCGAGAGGCATATATCAATGAACTATCATGTGATCTATATATAATCATGTTCTATAAAATTGTAGTACCAGTATTTCCTTTTTGTGGAGCGTTAGGCAATTTTCATGTGAGTAGTTTGCTGTTAGTGTGAGCTCCTAATTTTACCAATATTAATACTAGTCCTTCTAGCTATATGGTCTAATGTAAACTTCTATTTTCATGGAACAATTTAAATTTCTAGATGAATAGTATGATTCATAATTTTAAATGCACAACTTCCTATAGTTAATTTTACTCTCTTTTTTTTACCAAAGTAAATTAACATAGAAGAATTATTTATTGGTAAACAGGCAGGAGGGAAGACGTAGGGGGGAAATAGTATAAAGAAAAAAATCAAAACAAAAAAGCAAATTTAAGGAAGTTAAGTACCATTAATAAATAATACATAAAATTATTACTTATAAATATACAAATGCATTTTCTAATCACCAATAATTATGTTATGTTGGGTGGGTTGCGTATTTATAGAGATACACTACAATCAACTGAGATAAAATATACATCATTTGCAACGATGAAAATCAACTTAATTATAGAAATAGAAATCGACATCCCGATATCATATTATAACCCTTCTAGAAATCTAATGTTCCTGTGGAGTGATCTATGTGGGCATCAAGTTTTCTCTTATTTAAGTTGGCAATCGCTTATTTAATAGCATAAAGGGCATCATTTTCTTGACTTTTCGCCAGTTGAGCTAGAAAAATAGCTATTGGTGATAGAGCTAAAACAACCATCATATTTAAACTAGGAGGGGGTAATGATGACTCGAGCTTCTTTTTCTGTGATAGCAATACTGCCTCGAGGAGGAGGGCCTGGTATTGGGTGAGGCGGCCGATGGCATCGAATGAAAGCCGGAGAGGACAGGCGTAAGGAAGGAAGTAGAAGCTGATAGCAATGCGGGTGATGGTTGATCAGAACGAATGAGAAAGGTTGAGAAGGAATTGATCTGGATACTAAGGCCATCCCCAACCCTCCATGTCATCTAGTTTTCATAGCATTAAATACATTGACACATAAGCAAAAATCCTATGTGGCAAGAGAATTAATGATGAGAGAGGTAAAAAGATGAAGAAATCATTTCTCATGCAAGAAACCATTTCTACACAAGAACCAAGAATAAAATTAAGGGGATAGGTGGATAAAAGGAGAGAGAAGAGAGGTGATTGGATGATAATTTAATTTGAAGACACCATCCATTGAATACATAGTTTCTACACATAGTGTCTATATGACATGACAAATATGGAAACTACTAGATAGTTTCTGGGTTGGGGATGGCCTAATAAATTAAAGCACAAAACTCTATATAATTGACCATTAAATTGTTGTGCAGGCTGTTCCATTGATATTTAATTCCTATTGGCTAGGCCATTATGCGGCAAAGCTGCATTTCTTTTCTAGTGTATGACTGTGGGCAGAGCTTCAATCCTGCCGTGGACTTGGGCCAGGTCAGTCAGTCAATCTACTAATTACCTTCAACATTATTCGAGGGGACGTTCCATCGTTTTATCACTTTATGCATGTCGCTAAAAAAACCATCATATTTTCTCAAAAAAGTTGACAAGATAGAACAATATGTGATATATTACTTTACAAACATGCACGTTCAAATTCAACCAATACAAATAGAAACAAAAATAAAAAATTTAACGTGAATATTATGTAATATCTGCAATAAAATTTGTTATTTTTATTTTTTATTTGTGTAAGTCTATTTTGAGCCTGCATGTTTTGTAGAAAATGACATTCCTCGTATTGATATATTATGTTAATTAATTTTAATTTTTATGATAATTTGAATAACATACAAAAAAAGGGGGATTTTCCCCAATGTTGCATATCATTGCAAGAATGAGATGTAAATACTAAACATGTAAACTGAATGTTGTTGATCTTGGTTAGGTGGAATTAAGGCGCGTTCGTGCAAGGGATCGGCTTCTTCACGAATGATGAGTACGCGACCAACTCCGATGGGCTGGTCATCCACGACGGCACGTGGCGTGGACACCATCCTCAAGCAGTTCAACGTCGAGCTCATCAACAGCGCCCGCGATCACAAGCGCGTCCTATCTTCCAAAGGTGAAATCATCGTCTTCTTCCTTCGATCCTTTTTTTTTTCCTCAAACGCATGAACACTGAAATCGTAAAGGAACTCGAAATATCATATCCTTTTGTTCTCAAACGCATGAGCATTGAAATCGTAAAGGAACTCGAAATCTGAAACTGTTTTGCGGTCCATCATGGCATGCAGCGTCCGGTGAGCCGCCGCCGCTGCTGGCGTCGTCGGTGCACTGCGCGATGAGGGAGGCGATCAGGGCGGCCCGGAAGGAGTTCGCCGGTGCCGGCGGCTCGGCGCTGACTTTCCAGATGGACGTATCTCTGCGGCCTCGACGTTGTCGAGTGGTACCCAGGGTGGCCAATTTGATCGGGTCTCACCGAAATGCCGAAATTTCGAAAATTTTGGTCCGATATTTTAAACAGAATTTAGTTGAATTTAAGCAAATATTATCAGAATTCATGAAAAAAATTAAAAAGTTGAAAAATTTCAGTCGAAGTAATAGTATCATAGGGACCGAAATTCCGACCCTGCTGGTACCTCGAGAGCTTTGCTGCCAAAGCCTATAGATAGATGAATAGGGTGCGCATTCGGTCTAACCGAAAATTTCGGTCTCGGTCTTCGGTCTTTTGGTCTTTTCGGTCTTTGAAAAGTGAAGACCGAATTTCAGTGAAAAAATATCAGGACCGACAAATTCGGTCTCGGTCTCGGTCTCGGTCTCGGTCCTGGTCCTGACCGAAATTCAACAACATTTCCATATATGCAAAGAAATAATGAAAATTTTCAACACAAAAATCACAAAAAAAATTCGTAAGCACTTATGAGTAAAGACTTTTATTATGTTGCATGCCTAGAAGAAGTAGGGATGTGAAAATTAGAGTTTAATCCTATTAAACATAGTGGATTGTAGGTTGTATTTAGACATTTTTTGATAATTCGGTCTTTTCAGTCTATTCGGTTACCTGAGGAGACTAACCGAATTGACCGAACAAAATTCGGTCTTTCACTACCTAGGACCGAATTGATGACTGACTCATCACATCCTGGGGTTGAAGAAGGTCCCAAGGGTTCGGTTGTTTAAATTTCTCGATCTCGGTCTTTTCGGTTCGGTCTTTCGGTTCGGTTTTTTTCTGCCCACCTCCATTGGCTTGGCTTGTTACATTAACACCAAAAATAATCTGACTGCAAACAAGCTGGCTCGTTTGTTGGTGTGATATGCAAACAAGATGGCAGGCCTGTTGGGTTTTCGGACGCTACACTGGACATCACCGGCGCCGACGTATACAGCCTCAATCTTTCCTCTTTACTTATCAGCTAATTTAAATTTAAAACTTAAGTTTAAAGCATAATTTTTAAAGTTAATTTGGGTTTTTATCTTACTCTATTTTTCAGCGTTTGCTTTTAAATCACTAAAAACACAAATATATATAAAAAATACTTATAAATTATTTTTAAATCACTAAGTGTTATGGCTTATGTAACCTGTTGCAAGCGAAACTATTATATACTACTCACCGTTAAAAAATATAATGTATTTTAAGTAAGTGTGATATATTTTAGTACCACGAATCTGGATAAAAATCTAACAATGTACTGACGCTAACAAGATTTGGCATCAACCTCTTGCCAACCATGGCAGCTAAAGCTAGCAACCATAGCTCCTGGAGGTTGGCACTAGGAATTTTGACGTCAACATATTACTCTTTCTATCTTAAAATAAGTGCACTTCTTTAATTTAAATTTAAACTAAATAAGGACACTTATTTTGATTTGAAGGTGGTACTATATATGTCGGTCCAAATCTAAAATAGTGAAAGCCAAATGATTTTAAAACACCTCATTGGTCTACGTAGGGAACAAAATATAAACCATCAGATTGAGAAAAGGACAAAATAAGAAAAACAAATGTAAGCCATCCAATCAAGGAGGTACTACTTAAAAAACAAACAATAGAGAAAGACCTAATATCAAATAAATAGAAAAAGTGAGGTTTAAAATCCAGGCCGGCTAGCTCACCACCCTGTGAAACTAGCCAAAAGACCACTGGGTGTTTCTCGCTACTAGAAAACCAAGTCAATAGATGGTGGAGAACATTATGGATATTTCGCGCTTGATGCTTCTGGTGCAATGGTTATGGATGGTGA